AAGTTGACAATACACCTGTTTAATGATGAATGTAATCATCGTTCAAAACAGAAACCTAATAATAATATAATTATTAGTGTAACGACATTTTTCGTTTGCATTTTATTTATACATTTCACAAAACCTATATATAAATAATTATCGATACACATAGAATTACATGGAATAACTCATACACGTAGTTTGACATCACGTGATTCCAACGGATTAGGCAACTCATGAGAGAAAAGTAAGCAGACAAGCAACCGTCAGCAGAGCCCAGCAATTTCAGCAGTTAGTTAATAGTGAGTAGTTAAGCTCGTACCTTAGCTCTTATCATACTTCTTCTGTGACTACCAAAATCAAGCGAATTTCATTGTAATAAATAAAACTAACTCCGACTATTTTGTATACAGCACGATAATACCTTTTATGTCATTTAATTATTTGCGTGTGAGCACTCGTACTAAAAAAATTTAAAAAGTCTTCATCCCATTCCGAGTTTGTTCTTATTATCTCTGGGAGAGTATACTAAATATACGTACATAGTTATGGCCTATGATCCGCGTTTTCAAGAAATTTTCACCCAATATTTTATTTCATATAACACGTGAGTATATCAAAAAGGTAATTAATTTTAACATTTGTGTAAATGCTTTAGTACACAGTTTTTCTACAGAAAATAGTTATTCTTAAATAAGATCACGCTTTTTACGTTTTTTTTAAATTTTGTTTCATTTTTTATTTTTTTGATACTTAAACTATTATAAGTATTATTTTTTGTACAAAAACTATCAAGTTTGTTTAACTAACATTTTTTTAGTTTGAGGTTTATAGTTTCTAGAAGATGCTAAGCAGTTAGAAGTTTATGAATATTTTTAACTGTTATCTGCTTTTGAAAATTAAGTTTTTTTTGTAATACTTGAGTTGAAACAAAAACCGTTACAAACGTTGGTTTTTTCAAAAAGTTATTTATTTTTCATTTTTATTTCTATCATTAAGTTATACGAATTTTCTGTCGATTTAATAACATTTTATTAAATCCAAGAATATAATTGGTGAATAGTAATTTATTACATCAAATGCTTTTAAAAATTTGACTGCCTACTTTACCCCCCCCCCCCCTCCTGCATATGATTATCCGCATAAGTCACCTTTTCTGAACACATATATGTACACTAGTGAGGCTCCACTTACCTGCGAGCTCCACGTGCCCACCCCTCACTTTTTAAATATCAGTTAAATACTTTATTTTTTTTCAGTTTGCTTTTTGAAGTTACAAAAATAAAGAATCTGTGTAAAGTAGTTATAGAGTCAAAACAGAAGTAGAGATAACATATCCAACATTCAAAAATACTTTAATAGCAATGGGTTTAATAGAACACGATAGCCAAATAGATGATATTTTTTAAGAAGCTAGTATTGTTGTGTTATCATATCAGTTACGACAATTTTTTGCCTGGTTTTCAATTTTAGAAAACATCCAAGGAGATAAAATTTGGAAAACATACAAAAATCACTTTATGGAAGATTTTATGGACAATAATCAAAATCGTGCAGTTTTACATTTAAATGAAATTTTACAATTTAATGAGTTTCAAAATTAAATGTGAATAAACAGATAACATTTTTTTTATTGATGGCCTAGGAAGTGCAGAAAAAATATTTCTTGATAAAACTTTGGTTTATCATTTTATGTATAGTGGAAAAATTTTTTTATCTATGGCACAGACTGGTATAGCATCAATATTACTTACAAAAAGAATGACCAGTCATAGAACATTTCGTTTACTATTAGACTTAAACAATGTAGAAAGTTCGTTTTCGCAATTTAAATAAAAAAAACAAATAAAAAAAAGTAGATTTAATTAAATGGGACGAGGCTTCTATAATCTCAAACAAAGCCTTAAAAATAGTTGAAAGAACAGGGCGTGATTCATACGATACAAATATGCATTTTGGTAATAAATTAATTGTTTGAGGAGGCGATTTCAGACAGATTCTTTCAGTTTTAACAAACAGTAATGGAAACATGAATATACAAGAAAGTATTAAATCATCGTTGGTCGTTGTTTCGTATTCTAAAACTTAATATCAATATTCGTTAAATTCATGAAACATTTTCAAAATTATGATTAAATATTGGAGAAGTAAAAACTGAATTATTTCAAAAATCAAATAAATGGAAAACAACTGATGTTTGTTCCGATATTTTTGGTAAAGATATCAACTTTTCAATAAATCGCGTTATACTTACTTTTCATAGCGAATATACTAATTTTTTAAATAATAAAATTCTAAATCATGTAAAAGGAGATATGAAAACATATTACAGCATAGATTATGCTACTTACAAAGGTGTTAATAAGTCTGATACTAATATTTATACAAAATTTCCAATTGAATTTCTAACCAATATTTGTGAAGGCTTAGGACCGAATGAGTTTAATTTAAAAATTGAAGCAATTATTATGTTGATACAAAATTCAAGTATAGTTGATGGCTTACGTAACGGTACAAGATTAGAAATTGCAATATGACTCAAATACAATAAAAAAGCAAAAATTATAACTGGAGAAAAAATTGGAGAGTTTTTATACCAAAAATAACTGTTAATACAGGAAATTCATCATCGTTATCTTTTATTGTATACAGAAAATAATTATTTTTAGTCTTAGCATTTTTAATGACTATCAATAAATCTCGAGGTCAAAGTTTTAATAATATTGGATTATATTTGAAAAAACCACCGTTTTCGCATGGTTAATTATATGTCGCGTTATTAAGATGCAGAAATAAAAATGAAATTTATATTCAAATAAAACGTGATAATAATTTAGAAATGAAAATTATTGTTTGGAAAGAAATTTTTGACGTTAACTTATCTAAAGTTGATAAAAAACAAATTTAATTTCTTTACATGAGCAAAAGTATAAAAGTGTACGTAATATTATTACACAGTTCATTTGAATAATAAATAAATGAATTTAGGCAATAAAATTATAATTTAAATATCGTTTCATGACGATGCGCATTATTTGACATATTTATACGATTTCTATCTTTTCGTGGTAAATAGGGCTACGAGCGATGTCCACGGTTTAAATATTCTATAAGTTTATTCGTTGTTATTGATCAAGTATAAAAATATAATGTCATGTTGTTATATACATTTTATAATGCAATTAATAAGCTTTTAGAAAATTTAAGAAAAAAACGACTAGCACACCATAGCACTACCTGAACGGTGGTATGGAAATGTGCTTATGTGCTCCAAATTAGAGGCTTTCTTAAAACTGTATGGAGAGCTTAGACAGAAGGTGCAAATGGTCATATAACTAGAAATGACATAAAATCCGATATAATGTTACCTCATTTAGAGATGCAACCGAAGGGTGACTGGAAGGAGTTCTTTAAAATTGTGTTGGATTATACGGTTATTGGGTTATGAGGTTATAAGGGGGGAGGGCGAAAAGGGACTCAAAAAAAATTTAACTTAATGAAAATAAGGTAAGAACTAAAAGTACGGAAATGTGTTAACAAATTATACAGCTAAGATAATCATCACATTAGAACAAGAAGTAAAAGCGTGGAGCTAAGGAGAGGTGAAAAGTGGCTGTTTAGAAATTGTGAGAGGGCTGAAAGGTTTTTTTAAAAAGTGTAAGGAGAGCTGAGAGTGGGAGTGCAAAAAGTAATTAAACTAAAAATGATATGATTACTGGTATAATTTTACTCTATTCAGAGATGCTGCTAATGGGAGGCTGAAAGAAGTTTTTTTTAAATTGTACGGGAGGCTTATTGGGTTATAAAATTATGGGGGGGCTGAGAGGATGGAGGGAGGGCTAAACAAAAATTTAACCCAATGAAAATAAAGTTGTAACTGATAGAATTTGACTTTATTCAGAGGGGTCTAGGGGGAGGCTCATCAAAATCAAGCGGGGGACTGAGGGGTGGTTAAGGGGGCAAGGAGGCGCGAAGGGGTAGTTGTTTGTAATTACCCTCCAAAATTGCCATGTTATATATCTTGTCGAACTTGATGTAAAGAAGATTTTAAATATTCAATCGCGTTTATATGATAAACAGTCTACTTTAGTATTTGGGTGATGTGCGTAAAACGTGTGTCTATATATTACTCAATTATCTTGCGTCAAATTCACTGCAATTATGTTGCAACAAAATTTGTATAATTATTATTGATCACTACATGCATTTGCTTGGTGTATGATTTGCATGCAATATATAGACGTTGACTTGGAATAGAACTCTGCTTTTATTCCTAGCATTTTAGCCCCAAGTAATCATAGTTCGTGGATCACTATTTTATGCACTTCACCTACTATAAGATTAGCGTTAGACTTGTGCAAAACATTTTACGTTTTCATAATGCCATAAACTTAAAAAAGGTGCGAGAAGCAAACGGTGCATTGTTTTACTAAATCATTATTGAAACAGAAACCTAGCGTAAGAAAAGTGTAAGACGTACGATAACGATGCTATCAGGAATCATTTTGATATACACACAAGACGAAGAAGAATCAACTTTAGCTTGTCTACTTTTTTAAATGTAGATAGTGCTATTACCGGAGCCAACCTAAGAAGCAATCCACTGCGATTGCTATTACCGTGACATCTACTCATTGTAATATAATATATCATAATATTATAAGAACTAAAAACAATTAATAGCAATGAATTATAATCCATCCCAATTGAGGAAAACTTGTCAGTGCGGTCTTGTGCAACGTCCTCTTTCTAGTCTAATTGCGCTCTGGATTTGGAAATCCAGGTCAATATAACGCTTACGCATTTTTATATCTTAACACACAATGCCGCAGCAGTTATTTTAAAGGTGACGGTAGCTACAGTAGCCCTGTCACCTTTATAAGCATTGGAAATATAAAAAAATATGTAGAAATACCATGAACTTCGAGCAAACTTAGTAGCACTTCATCGAGATAATTCCTGAAAAATGGCTAAATTTATTGCACCAATGAAAATTTTTTTGATCAAATATTTGTTACCTTTAAATAAAACAAGCCATTCAAAATATGCTGGTCTAATAAAACTATTAACACTCTGAATGTTTGTTTTCAGTGCTTCTTCAAAAAATCTTTCAAGGTCGTTTGGATACTTAGATTGTAGATGTCGTAGTCTTAATTTCCATAGTGGAAGAGAATTGTCTTCTAAGCTTTTCACTGCCTAATAAAATACATTTTTGAAAAAACGTTTTTTGTAAGCTCACGAGCAAAAGCTTTCGAAATACCTTATCAAAGATTTCAAGTGCCAAGTGGTCTTGGTTATTCGTGTAAAGGTATTGCAAGGTAGCAGCCCATAGATTTTCACTTTTTGGGAAAGCTTCAATACCCCAACATAGAACTTCATATAATTTGTTATTGATATTTTCACTAGAGTTAGGACGATCGGAAGTATTTAACATTTCAATCTGAAGTAAAAATAAGAAAGTTTATGCTAAAACTTAAAAAATCATTTTTAGTTAGAATGTTAAATGATGTTTACCCAATCTAAATAATGTTTTTCTTGCAGTTTTCTTTCCTGATGGCCTTGAATTAAAGCATTTCTTAAAAATTTACGTTTTAATATCGGTAGTGTATTCAAGTGTTCCTGATTAATCTTAATTATGCAATCAATAAAAAGTGACCACATTTCTTGAGACTTGAGTTTCTTTAAAGCAACTTTATAAACTTCATAACAATTTTCTATTCGTTTACGCAAAGCGAGTTGCTTCAAATCCTTTACTGTTGAAGGCGTTTTTGAGTCAGTACTTAACGATGGATTCAGTAAGCCTTCATATTCTCTTTTAGCTAAAGTATCCCACATCAAAGGTTCATGCGGATAATCTTTCATCATATCACTTAGCAAAAGATATTTAAGCATTAAAACACACGTTTATTTGTTTAAAATTTAAAATTATTAATGAAACAAAATACCTGAGGACTACACTTTGCAACATTTCGGTACCTTTATACTTCTTTATTATTTCTAAAAAATTGATGAGAAACTTCAAATCTTTAATTTTTTTTGTAGCTTGCTTGTAAAGTTCAAAAACTGATTTCAATTTAGTTGGCATCTCTAAGTAATTGGGGTTATTAATATTTTCATACTCTTCTTCTAAATTTAATTTTTTATCTATCACTAATGATTCATCCAATTCCAATCTTTAAATAAAATAATTAAAGTAAGTACAAAATTATTACTCACTGAAACTAATAAGATATTCGTTAACCTTAATAAATCGATGTAAATTAATTGAGAATCTGGATGATAGAGCAAAGCTCTGTACAAAAGAAGTTTAGCAGTCTCAAGATCATTTTCTTCTTCTATTTCCCAACGAGCTGCTATATGCCAAATTTTTGCTTTGGTATGTTGCACTGATAGCATTTTTCCAAACACTTTTTTTACTGCTTTTTTGAAACCCTGTAATGCATAAATTTAGCAATAAAAATAACAAAAAGTTTAATTTTAAGTACAAAAAAAAACATACCACTTTTTTACAGAATGAAGTGTAAGCAAGCCAAATTCGAGTATCATTTTGATATTTATAAATAATATTTTTGTAAAGATGATGAATTTTCTTGCCTATAGCAAAGTCAATATTAGACTTTTGTTTGGTAATTCCATGTTTCTGTAATGTATTTATTTTATGTAGATAGATATTAATTTACTAATCTTGCTTCTAGAGAGTTATAAGTATGAAAAAGATATGATTAATACCTGTCTTCGATGCTTGATGAGTTTCATTAAGTGCAACTGATACTGAATGTACTGAAGATAATCTGTCTTTGTTTTAATATGTCTTTGTAATTTGTATTCATAATCTTTCCATTTTTTAGTTATCTCCCTATTTAAAAAGAAAAACATACTTTTGAAATGAATTAAGTGTGCCATACTAATGAAAACAAGTAAGGATATAAAATACTATTAAAATTCCATACGAAAAGACAGTAAAAATTGAGCTAGAAGTAAGCATTATTTATTACTCTTAAATCATGCTTAAATTTAAGTATTTAAATTTCACTTATATCTAATGACCTAAAAGAATGTATTCCTAAAGTATAAAATGGCTCCTTCTGAGCCCATTGAACAAAATAAGGCTAACTTAATATTTGTTGCCAGGTAAATAATTTTCTGTCTTAAATCTGAAAAATCTATTCTTGGCTTATGCATCAAATTTATGTAGATGCATTGTCAAAAAATTATTAATATTCCTAACTCAGGTGGTGATGATGGTGGTGGTGGTGGTGGTGGTGGTAGTAGTAGTAGTAGTAGTAGAAGTAGTAGTCGTAGTAGTAGTAGTAGTAGTGGTAGTAGTAGTATCAGTAGCAGTAGCAGTAGCAGTAGCAGTACCAGTAGCAGTAGTAGTAGTAGTAGTAGTAGTAGTAGTAGTAGTAGTAGTAGTAGTAGTAGTAGTAGTAGTAGTAGTTAAAAAAAATTTTTTTATTTTCATTTTTTTTTATTTGTTATTAGAGTAAGACTTTTTTTCACTTTATTTTTTTTTCAACTGTGACTCTTGAGATAGACGTGTGACTTGATATAGATATTTAAAGAAAATTTTTTTTTAATGTGTTTTAAAAATGCAAGTGTTTTTTGTGGTTTATTTTTTTTTCTACTGTGACATTCGTGATGAGTGTGATTTATACGTTAATAAAATACAAGGTTTTTTTTCACGGGAAAAAAGAAATGTTATGCTACGGTATCACTGGCTGCACTAATGGCCATTTCAATCATTAAAAATATCCAGTAACTTTACACACACTTTTAGTGAAAATTTATAAGGATATATGAATATGTATATGTAATTTTTTTGTCACCTTCGAAATATTTTTTTATCCATTTTATTTAACTGATTTTTAAATATGTTTGGAGAATTTTAATCATTTTAAAAAAAAGGGTAAAAATGAAATGCTAATTGTTGGAGATGAAAGTTATTTGTTTCGATGTTTTGCTTATTTTTTATACAATCTGTAACAATCGAAGAATACTTGAGCACCTTTCACACTCATCTAGACTCAGTAAGGAAGAAAGGTCAGAGAGAGAGAGAGGGGGGGGGGCGCCGTGCAAGAGAGAGAGAGAGAGAGAAAGGAAAGAGAGACGAGCGTCTTTATGTGCGTACTAACGTAAGACATCCTTGGCTATTATCGGTAGAAACAACGAACGGTCTTTGCCATCATTGTCATGCAAAGGAAGACCTACGTCAGCCAGAGATCACCCGCAGAGGCTTACGTTTCGAGCACACGATGGTCACCTAGCTTGCGATAATCAAGGTGCCAAGGTACCTCACGATTAAGGCTGGCTTAGAGCCACGTAAGCACCGTGCGCTCACGAGTGTTACATTAGCTGCGTTATCTCTCTCCGCGCCCAGTTACCTTGGCACGTGCCGTTGACTCCGAGTAGAAGGCACTTCACGGCCACGTCCGCTTTGTTTATCCTGTTTCAGTCATGAGCTTGCGTGTAAATACTAACGCGCTAGCGACCGGAGTTATTCCAGAGCTGAGCTGGCTCCTTAACGAGCAGAGCCGAACAAGGGAACAGCGAACTTGCTGTCCGCGTTGTAACGTGAATGTGTCACCACGGATACTTGAGAAGCACAATCCTGGTCCCTGGACTTTTGTTAATGAATAATGACTATGAAAGCCGTAACTTAGTGCTGACACCCCATTACAAATCAACAAGGTAAACATAGATCAACTCGACTGAATAGTAAATAATGTAGAAAAAAATTTGCATTATCTTGAACCTTTCATGGTTTTATGGATAAATATCATACGAACATACAAGAACCATAGGATGATGAATAGAATTATTGGAGAAGTCGAAACCACGTCGTTTATGCAAATATACGATATTTATTCGAAAATAACTTACAAAGGTTTTTCACTAGAGTATGGACTACTTTTATCAGGAAGTATTGTGAAAATCAATTTTTGTAGACATAAATGTAACAAAAATTATAACGAACGAAACAGGAATAAAGTCAATAACAGACGACAATTTGAATACAACTCAATTAGAAAAAAAATAATAATAATTCGGATGAAGTAGAAAATTTGATTGAAGAAATATTAGAAAAATAAAAAGAGGCAGAAAGACGTCGTAGAAGGTATGGGCATCGAAAGATTGGCAAAGAAGAATTAGAAAGATGATGTGGAAAGTATGGTTATCGAAAGATTATAAAAAAGTGACAGAAGGACGTCGTGAAAAGTATGGATAACTAAAGATTGAAAAAAAAGAGGAGAAAGGATGTCTTAGGTAGTATGGGTAGCAAAAGACTGGAGAAGAAGAGGCAAAAGGATGTCGTGGAAAGTATGAATGGCGAAAGATTATTTAAGAAGCCGAAGAAAGATATCGTTAAATAAATGCAAAAAATTAAATTAGTGAAACGAAGAATAAGTGAAAAAATCACTCTTTAATAAATGTAATATAAAACTTAAAAACCTACTTTATAGTGATACGTAATTTAGATAACTAATTTGATATTATAGAATTAAATATGCATTGGCAAGATTTAATGCAGAAGTGGTAAATGGTATAAACAGTGGTGTTTACAACTTAAAAATTCAAGGACAAAGTTATCACACTTATCTAAGTACAATTGTTTTACCAAATAACGAAAAAGCTCAATAAGGTCAAATATACGTGTATGATAGCTACTCAGAAACTGAACTACGATTAAAGAATAGTAAAAATTTTCTAAAGAATCATATTAAAATATTAACCAATATATATTTAATATTCATCCATATGTTGCATATGGTAATAATATCCATCGTTGCAAAATATTAACATTTATATAAATTATCAATGGAGGGTGAATATTGGAAAAAGCAGTCTTTATCATCTAGAAATTTAGAAAGTACTTTTTACATTTCCATTTAAATCTTTTTACATTGTTTTACTTTTTCTACAAAGAATTAATGAAAATACATTAAATTTATCAAGTTTAAATTGAAAGAGGCGGCGCGAAGCATATAATGTGCGCTGTGAATTACCTGCAGGATGCTAGGTAAGATATGCGCAAGGATTAATTATTGGCGAATATGTAGAACCGATAATGCGCAAAGAGATAACGCAGACTACCCCGGCGAATTGCACAAGACCACTAAAAAAAAAGTCAGGGGACTTTTATCAAACCTACTTTTCTTTATATTTACTAGGTCACTAAAATCGATTCTGATGTCAGAATTACCTTAGCACGTCAAGGTTTTGTGAAATCTAAAGTCATAACCTTAACAAAATCGAATAATATGAGTTTTTCGACAAAATTCTGAAAATTCATGCAACCCGTAGCCCCTCAAACCAAAGATTTTTAGCAGACTAGCCTCAATACATAAGCCAACAACACAAAAAACGCTTTCTGAACCATCAAAGCTCGCAAATTCCAACCTCAAACTTACGAACACCGTGGTCGTTGATTACCACCTCTCTACTTTTTTCTTATATCCATCCCTTAGGCCATACTTACATAGAGGGGAAATAGGCAGCAGAAAGTCATAGCAGAACTATTTATGCTTATGAGAATAAGAGGGAGGGATCAAAAAAAGTAAATCTGCTGACCTCCTTGAAATGGTTTTTCTGTAACGTTCTGCTGGCTATTTCCGCTCCATGTAATAACGGACTTTCTGATATAGCTATATTTTCAAGTCATATTCCCTGGAAAAAATGACTGATGAAGCTTTTGTGCCATTATAGACTTCAAAAACGTTCATTACACATAGCCTTTTTGGGTAGGATCTCCATAAAATTTTAACAGGATATTCGTTATGATATTAATAAGTCATATGTAAAATTGAAGATTGTTTTACAACATCGTTTTTTAGTTATTATATGTTGAAAAAGCTTTAATGTAACACGTAACCTTATAAAAGAGTCGTACAAAAATGGAATTCATGAGACAATAATTACTAGAATTCGTCCAATTTTTTTTTTGCATGACGCAATACCGTAATACTAGTATTATATTGAATTTTTAGAGGAATCGACGAGTTATTTTGCAATTAAATAACAAAAACCGTGTTCGACGCTTATATATAGGTATATAAATGCATGCAAAAAAGTTTCCGGCGCGCAGCACTGTCACATGCTCGCTCCCCCCTCAATGCATTCTCTACATTTCCCCTCTAACTGTTATGAACGTTCTCAAGCCCAAGTAAATAATGCTCTCTTACATCATGCTGTAATCAAATGACAAGCTACTTTTTTCTGATTTTAAACAATGTAAAGCGTTTTAGGACTTAGGCTGCGGTCCCACGCGTAGACACCGTAAGAGAAAGAGACAGGTTCCTTTTCAGCAAAATTTCAGAGAAGTCGCACGTTACTTCTTGGCAAATACAAAGGATTTTATTAATTACTACAAGTAGATCACGTCTTTTTTCATTGTTCGCATGACTTTTACGTTAAGACTAAGTAATCTACGTAATAATCTCAAAATATATATTTATTTAGCATTCTTTGATGATAAAGGAATATGATATAATATAATGTAAAAACGCATGGAACTGTTGAAGGACTAATTAAATAAAATCACGCAATTTGTGTACAGTAAGACTTACTTTTTCTAAGGACGATCAAAAAACTTCAGTAGTTTTTTACTGAAAGACAATTAAGTCATGCATTTCAAGAGATGGATACAATAATTCTAAGACAGTTGGCTTGTGTTTGAAAGCTACCCTGTTAAACAACTTTTGTTATAAATGGTATAGGTTACGTAAATTGACAGAATTACGTAGAAAAACTGACAGTATTTCCTTCTAGAGGATTTAAGGTTAGGTTATGAAAGTTTTGGTATATTAGAAAGTAATCCTATGAATTTTAGCTTATGTTTAAGGCTACACTGAAAAAAAG